ACTTAAATTTTCAACGTCTATTTTTTCTTACGTGGTAGAACCATGCTGTAGCTATATTAGTAGTAGGTATAGTTGTAGCACGAATGGGTCGGCTTGACCGGGGAAGGGCCACGCTCTCACGGACTAACATGTAAAATAGCAGTTTAACCCTGTTGTGTTTCGTATGGTGAGTGTAGAGAACCGGAGAACCTTTTTACTGGAAACGAGGCATTACATGTTAGTCCTCACGGGTAACAACGCATCTACATTTTGATACGTAATCGAGAATAGATGTAGATGTGTATGGGCCATAGCAAAGTGGTTGCTACGGCCCATACACATCTAAATGGTAAGTTTACCATCAGGTGGACTGTGTGCTCGTTTGTCACCCTTATTCTATTAAAAGAAACTTTCTGAGATTTCAGTAAAATAATGTTAAGTATTGTAAGCACTCGTACAATTATGTCTCATGTTAATAAAGCTATTGGGCTGTTTTGATTTGTAATAAAGTGATTTTACTTTATAGGTTAAATAATTTATTTACCTTTCTATATCAAGAACTGTTTTTCTGTCACTCCTATTGAATTTGACAGTGCTTGCTGAAATTTAGCATTTTAGATGGATCAGAATCGCGTGCTGATCCGGCTGTTAGATATTGCAAAAATAATCTAAAATATTTATTTTTACTTTCATGCCGAAGACTACCTTGTTTTATTTTATTACGGTCAAATAATATTTATTAGGTTATAAAGCAAGTATTTTTGTAAATGTTGTGAATGTAAATGTAAATGTTTTCATTATTTTGTTATTCTATTGTTTACAGTTATTATCAAGTCTTAGCTTTACACCAAGAATTACATTAGAAATTCTTGATGGGATGCGATGTAACGTGCATACATTATTTTCATCAAGAACTATAATATATATATATTTGTTTTTTTTTTACCAGTAGAGTTTCAACAAAATCTTAAAAAAGTTCAATGAATTAAAAAAATGCTAATAGTTATATAATTTCAAGTCAGTGTTTTACATTTAAAGATCAGTTATAAAGAGCCAATGTTATTATTTTCATTTTGATTAATTTAATTCGAGACTAAAATAAATGTGAAAGGGCTTTTATCTGCAATAATAATTTTCGTCAAAAATAACATAGACTTATAAAAGTCATATACACGGTTAATCATACTGAAGATTATCAATTGTACTACAAAATATTTAAAAGACTATTTCCAGTATAATGACACGAATATCATCATTTATGTTTGACTGGCACACTTAAAAGTTTTATCACATGGCTAAATGATTGATTTTTATATTATGATAAGGTCATGCTTTTCTATAAAAAGTTGCAAGAAATTTTAAATCACGGACCTATTGGTTTGTTTTACTTTTTACTTAATTAGTGAAAAACAAGATGGACTGATCTAAATGATGAAAAAAATCTGTTTACTTTCTTGTGTGAAAAGTGCTATTTAGAATTTTATGCAAATGATAATTAAAGTTTCTATGTAAATAAGTGTAACATAGCGGGTATTATATTCAATGGTAGCGGCCATTCATATTTGCAAAGCCAGCATCATTTTCTGTACAGAAACCGGCAAAGTGTTGCTCAAAGCACTATAAACAAAGCAGCTGATAAAATGTTACACTCATAACTGTTAACAGAAACTGTTTCCGCAAATGGTCATATATATAATAATAACTATTCCGCCGTGTTAGGTGCAGGAGCTATTATTAGAAGGAGAAGAGGTAAAATTGTGTTTTAGAAATGCGCAATCAATATTGTTTTGTCTGAAATTGAGCATAAAATAAAAAATAACTTCAGCCAAAGAGCATAACTGGCATTATACTCAGGCCCATCAATTGGTATGGAAAAAAATAATTTTACCAGGTTTCAAAAAACCAATCAAAATTCAAAAAAAACATAAATATTAAAATCAAGAAATGTATATATGTATGTCTATACATACATATAATGATTTATGGCCGCTTAATAACTGACGGTGACTCAGTATAACATCCTACAGTCACGCCGAAACTAAGAGATTCTCTCCTCTTATGGCTGCTTAGTAACTGACGGTGACTCACTATAACATCCTACAGTCACGCCGAAACTAAGAGGAGAAAATCACTATAGAAAAGGTAATAATTTATTGTGGAAATTTTGTGTAAATTTAAAAAAATTATAAACTTATCCAAGTTAATCTAACTTAGTCTAACTTATCCTTATGCGTTACAAAAAAAAAAACAAATAATAAAATAGTCAGATGGCGTCAGTTTTAAAGAAGATATAACAAAAATAAACAAAAAAAAAATTTCAAAAAAGTTCAGTATTTAATTGATTATATACCGCTGACATTTAATCACGCTTTTCGAAACCACGCCAGTTGTAAACAATACTTGTGTGAAAAGACAAAATCTTCTTTTCAAATTTCGGCCGAGTTGTAAGTAGAAGGCCAAATAGGTCATGTGTCCATTTTAATTAAATATATTTTATATGAAGTGATCTTGACTACGTTTCATCAATAAACCTTTGGTAAAAATTAAAACAGGAATGTTACAATTGTGTTTACAATAAACATTATTAGTTGAACCTTGCAGCTTGTTCATTATTTTTATTATAAATACCTATAAATGTATATATTATTAATAAATAGTTCCCATAATATTTTGGATTATTTTTTATTTTGCCCTATCTGTAATGTTCTACGCTCTATAGAAAATGTGGCGTATGACATGACTGACAATCTTTCGAACGTTTTATCTAGGTACAAAGATGTTTTACGTTTTCGTCGCCTCCACATGATATTTTTGTCAGCATAAGGTACCCTTCTATACCTGAAACGAATATAAATATTGCTACAAAGTAAAGTAATAGGCTATACAAGGCCCTCTACTGGACACAGGGCTCTTTTTTTTATTTCTGAGAGGGTTTTAGGGCAAAGGAATGCCCGCCGTGATTCCCCAATGCGTGTTGACGAAAATTGCAATTACAAATTTCATTCGTGCTGTCGGGGATCAAACCCGGGAAAATTTACAGCGAACGCTTTGACCCAGAAGATGCGTAACCGCGACATAATTCTCAGTGATCATCATCATCATCATTATCATTACAGCCCTTCACAAGTCCACTGCTGAACATAGGCCTCCCCCAAAGAATGCCACAAAGCACGGTCCTGAGCCACCTGCATCCATCGACTTCCTGCATGTCTTACCAGGTCGTCACTCCATCTCGTGGGGGGACGCCCTACACTTCGCCTGCCGGTACGAGGCTGCCACTCGAGAACCTTTCTTCCCCATCGGTTGTCGGTTCTTCGAGCTATATGGCCGGCCCACTGCCATTTCAGCTTACTAATCCGTTGGGCTATGTCGGTTACTCTGGTTCTACTGCGGATATCCTCATTCCTAAGTATATCACGCATAGAAACTCCGAGCATAGCCCTCTCCATAGCTCGCTGAGCGACCTTGAGCTTCCTCATACGGCCAGCAGTGAAGGACCACGTCTCAGTTCCATAAGTCATCACTGGCAACACGCACTGGTTGTACAATTTCGTTTTCAGGTTTTGAGGTATGTCTGACGAGAAGATGTGTCGTAGCTTCCCGAACGCTGCCCAGCCGAGTTGAATCCGCCGATTGACCTCTCGGTCGAAGTTGGACTTACCTAGTCGGACTATTTGTCCCAGGTAAACATACTCGTCAACAACTTCGAGCTTAGTGCTCCCAACAAATACCGGCACAGGTGTGACATGGACATTGAACATGATCTTTGTTTTGTCCATGTTCATCTTAAGACCTATCCGTTGGGAAACACTATTGAGGTCATTGAGCATAGTGCTTAGGTCCTCCAGCGATTCTGCCATAAGGACTATATCGTCGGCAAATCGAAGGTGAGTGATGTACTCGCCATTGATGTTGATACCGTATCCTTTCCAGTCCAGAAGCTTGAAAACGTCTTCCAATGCAGCGGTGAAGAGTTTCGGGGATATGACGTCACCCTGTCTTACACCTCTCTGCAATTGGATAGGTTTCGTACTCTGGTTCTGTACTCGGATAGCCATCGTAGCCCTACTGTACAAGCACTTCAACACTTCGATATACCGACAGTCAACTTGGCACCGCTGAAGGGACTGCAGCACCGCCCAAATTTCGACGGAATCAAAGGCTTTCTCATAGTCCACATACGCCAGACATAGTGGCAAATTGTACTCTTCGGACTTCTGTACAATTTGCCGAAGGGTATGTATGTGGTCTATGGTGCTAAAGCCCTTTCGGAAACCGGCTTGTGCGGGAGGCTGGAAGTCGTCAAGTCTGCGCGCGAGACGATTCGTAATGACTCTCGAAAACAGCACGTAGACGCGGCTCAGAAGGGAAATCGGTCTGTAGTTCTCAGTGATGCGCAAGCATAACAGGCAGTATGTCACTTATATAATTGTCATCTCTACAGTCTATTAATCTTTGCACTTTTATAAGTAATACAGAATGTAGTTGCTAGACGGTGTTGACGTCGGCTAAAATCTCTGCGATCGCCGTTTCGTCAAGGTCATTCAGGCTAGTTAAAGCCTTAAAAGCTTTTCACGAATATTTTTAATGAAGACACTGCATAGGTTCTCTAATAAATTATAAGAATAAACGAGTAAATACGTACGAACACTAAAATTTACCGTGTATAATATCCACTACCCCATATCATCCCGCGTGGGTGCCGTAATATATATCTTGATAATAATTTAAAATTATAAAAAAACTGCAACTATGAACGTAGCCCGTTAGGAGAGACTTATGCTAAACAGTGGAATTCTATAGGCTGTAATGGATAGATGGAAGGACAATGACTTTAAAGTTTTACGTGTATAAGTCCGAATTTATTATAAGTTGGAGTTTAATAATCACTAAAAATAATCAATAATCAAGTATTCGGTACGGTAATCCAAAAAGGTTTAATAAATTAAAATAATAATTGAACGTGCCACATTTTATACAATCTGCAACAAGTCATTTTCAAAGGCAAGTAAATATCTTACCGAGTCTAAGTTCTCCAAAGTTGCCGCAGCCGATCTTCTTGCCCACTCGGAAGTTGGGCCCGACCATAAGGACGCCCGAGGACGAGGTGACGGAGTGCCGCGACGTGTGCATCGCGCTGCTGCCGCCCACGCCGCGCCCGCCCACCGCACCAGTCGCGCTGCAATTTCAACACATTCAATACTTACATTATTTTTCCTAAGAATTAGACAATATCTAACGCTGAGCACGGCATAAGTTGTTTTTTATAAACTTACCATGTAATGAATTTGTTATAATAATAATAATAATAATAATAATAGATTTATTTATTTCCCACAATTTGATTGTAAACAACTTCAAAAATATACATATGTTGTGCGGGGGACTGGTGTCCAAACTAGGTACAAACCTGTATTATGGATCACCAGGCCTCCACCCCTTGGATAAATACAATCTTTGTAGTATGAAAATACAAATAAGAGAGAAAGAATGCAATTGCATGTTTGTGTGTTTGTGTGAGTGTGTGTTCTGTTTACCCTACGCCAATGACTTGGGATCAGTTATCAGATTATAAGGATCTTAAACCACAAATCGAAAGACTTATGTCGTTTAACATTATAAGAATTAGCAATTAACACTTAGCAAATTTTCTGTCATATCATAATCCAGCGTCTCTAACCATTTGGAAACATTTCTTTTAGAGAAGTTTTTTGTTTGTGGGAAGAGATTTAAAATTTTATTAAGTTTATTATATAAATAACCTCCCAAGAAAGTAAAAGATTTTTTTGCGAAGCTCGAATGAGGTTTTATTTTACATATAGCATCCTTACGTCTTTTTACTTTTAATATTGATGAATCATAAGGTAATAGAGAATGTTGCCTATTTACGGTGTACAAAATATAAAGCTTTCGAATCGTGAGGACTTGACATTTCTTATATAGATCGCACGTTGGAAATGTGTACAGGAGGGAACGTGATGTTTTGAGTATAGCACTTTGAGCTCTTTCCAGTTTTATGAGAATAGATTTGGATGTTCCTCCCCAAATTGTAATTCCGTAAATTAATATGGATTGGCATAGTGATAAATATAACATTCTAATAATGTTCGAATTAGCTGCGTTACGTAACCTCTTAAATATATACATTAATTTACGAGTTCTACTAGTAAGCATATCTATGAATGTTAAAGCTTAGGTTATTACTTATTATCTAAGTAAATTCCTAAATATTTAATACTATTAATGCACTGCAATTTTGGACAGTTACAGTTTTCCCTCTCACTTAGGACAGAACAGTTATGAGAAGTAATTGAAAGATTAATAGTTGGCATATTTCCTTTCTTATTAAATATTAGATACTTCGTTTTATCAACATTTAATGTTAGAACATTATCATGTAACCATTGAGTAACTAAGTTAAAACCCTTTTGTCCATAGCGGAAGAGATCTTCATAACTGTCAGCGCTAAAAACTAGAGCAGTGTCATCTGCGAATGATGTAATTTGACCATTTGGTATCTGTAATTTACATAGGTCATTTATGTAGACAAGAAAGAGGGTAGGACCTACAATACTTCCCTGCGGTACACCATAGGTAACAGGTAAATCCTTACTTATAATATTTCTTATCTTTATACGTTAAGTGCGGTTTGTTAAATAGTCAGTAAAGAGTTTTAGTTGTGTACTCCTGACTCCAACCTTTTCAAGTTTCTTAATCAGAATTGGGATAGAGACCGTGTCGAATGCCTTGGCTAGATCTAGGAAAATTGCCATACACTTTTTGTTATTGTCAAGTTCTTTGAAAATATAGTTTGTAAGATCATGGACCGCGTTTGTTGTTGATAAACCAGATCTAAATCCATATAAAATAAAAAAAAAGTAAATTATTTTCAAGAAAACAGGTTAACCGGTTATTCATGATCTTTTCAAGAATCTTAGACATTGATGGTAAAATAGATACTGGTCGATAATTATTTACGCGGTCCCTAGCTCCATTCTTATAAATAGGAAGGATAACAGATTTCTTAAAAGCAGAAGGAAATGTGCCATTTGTTATTGCTAAATTATAGACATGTGTTAAAGGTTGTGCTATTATATGTTTGTATAATTTTAATATGTTAGCACTGATATTGTCCCACCCAACAGCATCGCTTTTTAGTGACATAATTAACCTTTCGACTTCTGTTATTTCAGTAGGCGTTATTACTAAAGATCGGAGATTATTTACTATTTTGCTAGACGACGAATCCTCGTCTTTTGACTTCCGGTATTTACTTCCGGATTCTTGTAGTTTTGGGTTCTGTGCCATTAACTCTTCTTTAACAGCTTTTAGCGAATTTGAGTGTAAAAGTTGACCCGCTTTAAGTTCTTTAAACATATTAGAAATTTCGCTTTTAAAGATATTAAAATCAATGTTGTATTCGTCTGCACGCCTTCGCTTAATGCGCTGCGAAATAAATGCGGGTGAGTGTGAATCTACATCGCTTGAGGCGCTTAAGTTCGGGTCGGATTGAGAAATATGCGTAGTTGAGGTCGACGGCGGGGTTCATTTTAAAGGAATGTTTATTATCAATTGTACCAGGACATTATAAATATTGTTGTTTGAGAGTAGCACTGAGTTCTTAATATGTTGGTTGATATCGAGGAACTCAAGCTAAATTTAATTAATTAATTTAATAAAAAGTTATAATGCTTATAAGTCTATATGTTTTCCACAGCTTGGCACAAACCTCCTCTCATTTCTGAGAGGGTTTTGAATCATTTATTCTGCCGCACTACTATGCCAAATAGCGTGCGTGTGTGTGTGCATGTTCTTCAAAATAATAAGTGACCTTCAAGTAGGGTTGCAGCTCCCGTTTTATGTTTTATAGGATTTGATAAGATTTAATAAAGGATATAATATTACTTTCAATAAAATACTGTTATGGTATCTGTAGCAACATTTATTATTAAAAAAACAATGGTAATACGCAATGTAACGTAGTTTGTCTCTAACATCGCGCCATCATCATCATCATCATCATCATTACAGCCCTTCATAAGTCCACAGCTGAACATAGGCCTCCCCCAACAAAGCATGGTCCTGAGCCACCTGTATCTATCGACTTTCTGAATGTCTTACCAGGTCTTCACTCTATCTAGTAGCGGGACGCCCTACACTTCGTCCGCCACTCAAGAACCTTTTTTCCCACATCGGTTGTCGGTTCTTCGTGCTATATGGCCGGTACATTGCCACTTCAGCTTACTAATCCGTTGGGCTGTGTCGGTCACTCTGGTTCTACTGCGGATATCCTCATTTCTAAGTTTATCACGCAGAGAAACTTCGAACATAGCCCTCTCCATATATCGCTGAGCGACCTTGAGCTTCCTCATCCGGCCAGCAGTGAAGGACCACGTCACAGTTCTATAGGTTATCACTGGGAACACGCACTGGTTGTACAGTGTCGTTTTCAAGTTTTGAGATATACCTGACGAGATGTGCCGTAATTCACCGAACGCTGCCCAGCCAAGTTGAATACGTCGATTGACCTCTCGGTCGCAGTTGGACTTACCTAGTCAGACTATTTGTCCCAGGTAAACATACTCGTCAACAACTACGAGCTTAGTGCTCCCAACAACTACCGGCATAGGTGTGACATGGACGTTATACATGATCTTTGTTTTGTCCATGTTCATCTTAACACTTATCCGTTGGGAGGTACTAATGAGGTTATTGAGCATAGTGCTTAGGTCCTCCAGCGATTCTGCAATAAGGACTATATCGTCGGCAAATCGAAGGTGAAAGATTTACTCGCCGTTGATGTTAATACCGTATACTTTCCAGTACAGAAGTATGAAAACGTTTTCCAATGCAGCGGTGAAGAATTTCGGGGATATAACGTTACCCTGTCTTACAACTCTCTGTAGTTGGATAGGTTTCGTATTCTGGTTCTGTACTCGGATAGCCATCTTAGCCCTACTGTACAAACACTTCAGCACTTCGATATACCAACAGTCAACTTGGCACCGCTGAAGGGACTGCAGCACCGACCAAATTTCGTCGGAATCAAAGGCTTTCTCATAGTCCACATACGCCAGACATAGTGGCAAATTGTACTCCTCGGACTTCTGTACAATTTGCCGAAGGGTATGTATGTGGTCTATAGTGCTAAAGCCATTTCGGAAACTGGCTTGTTCGGGAGGAACAGCACGTAAATACTTCGTTTCGGTGTAATTTTATCCTCGCCTGGGGCCTTGCCGTTTTTAAGGTGCTGGAGAGCCATTCTAATCTCGCTCAGACTGACGTCCGGAATATCATCGGAATAGTGGCGGATAAAATTTGCTCTTAGATCGTTACTCACACTTGTGTGCATCGTTTGAGCCGATTACGTGTACAGCTGCCCATAAAACCTCTCAATCTCAATCAAAATCTAAGGTGTCCCGGAAACGATGCTACCACATTCGGTGTTCAGCTTCGACAGTTGGCTCTTTCTGGCAGACAAATCTCTGGCAAAGACTTTGGAGCCCTGGTTCCGCTCGACCACTTCTTTCTTCAATACGAGCTGTATTGAAGTTGCGCAAGTTACGCCGCATGCATTTGGAAATCGGTCTGTACAGTTGCCTGTATGCTGTCAAATCCGGAAGACTGCAGCTTCATTCCCCGTCTAACAGCCATGAGATTAAGAGTGTGATAGGAGAGTTTTTGTGTTCCTCTGCGGCGGGTCTTGCAAAACTTAGTTCCGACCGCATGGACAGTTTCCAAGAGCTTGTCATTCATATCGTCCACTGCATTGCAATTTTCCAGGCAATAAAAACGGTTTTGTAGCTCGAGCTGAGTTTTCGGATGGATTAGAGCACGAGGTGGACGGAGCGTTGACAGACCTCTGTCGCTCTTGCTACCTGCGTGAAATAATTACCTACAATTGCGAGCTGCCCCAGGGGTAGATCGCAGTCGGGGCTAGCGGGCTCTATACGATTGAATGTTAAAGTTTTTTTTTAACCCTGTTTACGTAAATAATTTTTTGTAAATACTTGTTCAAATACTCGTCGAAATAGTTTGTTGTTTAGTGTTTATATTTTTTTTTATACTCATTTATTCAAAATATATAAAACAAAACAAAACAATTTTTTTTAGCCCTACAGCAGAAACCACACACGGTTTAGTTGCTGTGGTCTATTAATTATAAACTATAATCTATAT